CAAGACGACGAATCAAACTTTCGTTTTTCTTGTTCGAGGCAAAATAAGTACCGGTATTTTTTTTAACGAGGTTTATTTATTTATTTTAATTCGTAAACAACGTTGCATCATGTTGAGAATTAAAGAGCTGTTTTATTAAAAATTTAACTCGTGAATAATGTTTTCAACGAAATGGGAAACATTCGCTGACGAAAAATGTCCCCTACGACCCAAGTAATGAAAAAAACATGATTTTTTCACACGATTGAATTTGGCTTTTCAATATTTTTGACTCGGAAAGTGTACTTCACGCTTCTGATTGTGGACCAAATAAAAATTAAATCTCAAACAATATGTGTCACTGTATTATAAAAACGCACAATTTTTCAATCGCGTGGAAGCATTTTTTTATTCATTTTTTGCGTCGAAATTTGCCTTCAGGGTTCCTGAGTATTTCTGCAGTTACTGCAGAAGCATGATTAAATGATTGGAAAAAACTTAATCCTTAAAGTAATTTTATGTTTTTTGCGCGCAGGAAAATATAAACGAAAAATTCATAATAAACTAATAATTCGACATATATTCAGCATAAAAAAATAGTGTATGTACTGTACAAGGATTTCATTGAAGAAATTTTCAGAATGGACTTTTCATTTCTACTTTTAAAAATTTGGGGGTGCACAGAACCAATCAACATTTCTAAGTAATTTTACATTGATTTTTTTCAAAAAGTTTCTGAAGTACGGTGTAAGCTTCTCTCGCTGGAGAGGATCAAGTCCGTTAACCGAGGCAATTCTGCCTTCCTTTTCCCCAGTGCGCCAAAAGTTTGCTCAATTTTCTTAAAAATTGGATTCTAAATTTATGTTCGCACTGCAAATTTGAATCTGTTGAACTTAAATAGTTGGAGTATCCTTTTCAACAGCCAAGATATATTATATTTCAATAGTCAAACAGCTCATAAAATAACAGAAAACTCTTGTGGAAATTTGAAAATGTTGGACCAAGAAAGTGGAAAAGTAATCCCACACTGATATAATCAACAAGACAAGAGTGATCATATTTTTTGCCAAAATGGTAAGTTTTATTAAATTTCAGGGTAACTCCGCGGAAGCGGCTCAACTCGTTTTTCGCGTTATTAATTCCCCACTTTGTTCTCCCTCTCCAACACCTCATTTAATAAAGTGAACTACTGTAGTTCTTTCGTGAAGAAGAAGAAGAAGAAAAACAAATCTTCATAGAAGGGGTTCCACTTATGTGGGAACATGTGAAGGAAGTCGAGGCTTGCATAAAACACGTTCTTCGGGAAACGCGGGTGCTGTCGAATGCGCATAAAAACTCGAGTCTCGGAGGAAGGCGAGTCAGTCCAACCGAGAAAATTCTTCGCTTTTCTTCTTCTGAAGAAAAAAAATATATATCGGTGTTTTATGAATTCCGTTTTTTGTTTATTTATTAATGAATTTATTGTGCATTTTCTCACCCGTATAGGCCAAACTTTTACCCAGAGACTGTCCTGAGAAATAAGGAAAAAAAAGCTGCTGGTTGGAACTTCAATTTAAAATATATTTCTCATTACCTACACCTGCTCAACTGAATCGGTTTTTCGTATGCATTATATCCAAGATTTTCTCTGTTGTTATACGGACTTGAAAGCTGTAAACAGCATTTTTTGATAATATAGCTACAAAATAATCGCCAATATTCACTTGGCAATTTTATGAGTACTATTTCATAGCAAGACTATAATTTTCTCAGAGTGTGAACCTGTTCTTGGAAAGTTCTGAAGACCGCGCATAAAAAATGTCTAACATTTATTTTCAGGCTCTAATTTCCTCGCCATATTTTCAAATTTATTTCAATATTCGGTTATTTCTTTAGAAATGAAGCCCAGACGCAGGTCTCCAGCTATTGGTCTGAATATTTGAGAATAAATTTCGAGTTTTCGTGATAATTTTCTGTCGACCTTCAAGAGGTGGAAGAAACGTAAGTTTTTCAGGGCGAAGTTCATCTGCGTTTGCAGTTGGAACATTTGTAAATTTTAGCTGGATACATTTCTTTTATTTCGAAACATTAGAATTCAATGGACATTTTTTATTTTATTTTTATAGGTGAAAAAAGTAGTGCTTTTAGTCTCAACCGCGAATCCGTTGGCGATTTAGTCCGGAACCCCGGAACTGATCGCAAGGATTTCCAGAAAAAATCGTGAGTATATTTTATAGAACTTATCATGATCTAGATTTCCATGAACTTCGTGAAAATTTATTAGTATTATTTTTTAAATCATCCATGAATGACCGAAAAATTCATGAGAGGGGCTTCGATGAGAAATTTTTGAACGCCATGTAATTTCTAGTCGCGTGTATCTTCAATTGACATTTCTATAAATGGTTTCCAAGAAAGAATTTTTTGGAATCAATGTGGCGAGTTTTTTTCTGTTGAAATAAACCCAATTTCCTTCAAATCAATGCATTTTTTATATTCGAAAGAACGTTGATAGGGAAATTAACTGTCATATAATATA